TGTTAATTTAAACAAAAAATGATAAAGGAAAATAATCAGAAATTAAGCAAAAAATGATCAAATTTTGCTAAATTATGCGGGGTGCTTAAAACCATGGGGACAGTTAAGGGCGTTTTAACATTACACAAGTATTTCCGTACCTTGCGCGAAACTTACGAAATAGGTTGGTGGTGAGGAAATGTTCAACTTCAACACGAAACGCTGTCTGCTCTTTATTAATCTAAACCAAACCATGATCTCAGCAGGCAGAGGAAACTTGAGAAAACTATCTGCAAAGTTCATTCTGTTGGCCTGTTAGACTGCTTTAGTTGGCATTATGGCTCAATCGTTGAGAATTTGTGGTAGGCCTAATGCTAACAAGTGCGTCATACTACAAAAGTGGGGACATAGCTGAAAATGGGTTGTTGTTTTTTACGCACTATGAAGAGCAAGACTATTCTGTGGATTTTTCTGAAATGAATATCAGACAAATTCCTTTTGACTTCCTAATGTTGGGTACAAATTTGAAAAGCAAAACTTCAGTGTGGAGGAAAGTTGTTTTTTTTTTAATTTGTAGAGGTTGGGTTGTTGTTTTTTTTGGATCACCCTGTATTTGCCTTTTTCTTTGCGCATGACGGCAGTCGGGCAAGACAGCTAGATCATTAGATGAGGCAAAACTGGCCACAGTTGGTTTCTAGTCTCAAAAAGTCTACCACTGGTCAAGATGGCAGTCGGTGCTATCCCGTTTTACCGCCAGCCCCGCGGTACCGCCAACTTTAATCTGTCCCCGTGGTTTTATGCACCCCGCATAATTTAGCACAATTTGATAATTTTTTGCGTAATTTCCGATTATTTTCCTTTATCATTCTTTGTTAAAATTAACAGAATCGCATAATTTCACATTTTTGGGCTCAGTTTGCATAATTTCAGAATTTTACTTGCATAAAACGACAGGAACCGCTTTATGCTCGTCCCAGGGTAGGCGGAATGACGGGGTTCGACTGTACACAGTACATCATGTACATTCAATCCACCAACTGAACAACTCACCGCTGTATGAGAGGCGTGGCACCATCCTGCTGGAACCATTGATGACACTGTCTATAAGTATAGTCTATCGGTACATGTACTATCACTACTATCAGTGTCACAAATGCGTCATAAAGATTCTCAGAACATGGAAAGAGAGTATTTCACAATACAATGTACATGTAGGCCCTATAACAAAGGGGCCAATGTGAATAAAAATGTCCTGGTGACACTCTGCCGTTCATATTGTGGCTTAGAGTACTTAGAGTACAGTGTATGGAGATTCTTTCCGACAATTTCATCTGGCATTGATGTGCAGTGGAAACCTGATATAACAGGGATACTGAGACCAGAGAAAAAGTCCTGTTACATCAGATAAAATTTCCAAACTGCAAGTCATTAACATTTACAGCTGAAAAACCTCTTTATATCGAACCGCCACCTTTCAGCCAATGGGACGAGCGTGCCATACTGCCCCAACGTCAAGGAACACGATTCTGCTGTGCGATCCCAGTTTGAAAAGTGTCTTTTTGTTGCTGATATTACATGAACATGCACATGTATTCAGAGCCGAGAGTCTTCTCTCTCTCTCTCTCTCTCTCTCTCTCTCTCTCTCTCTCTCTCTCTCTCTCTCTCTCTCTCTCTCTCTCTCTCTCTCTCTCTCTCTCTCTCTCTCTCTCTCTCTCTCTCTCTCCCTATCCCCCCCTCTCTCTCTGTCTCTCCATCCCAATGCCTTTCTAGTGGGAGGTGGGAGAAAATTTTTAATTAAGTAGCCAACCAGTGGGTGTTGTGCGCCATGTGCAAGGTGTACCTCTGGCGTCCGTTCGCTGGCGGTATGAATTTACATTAACTCTAAATAAGGACGTACAACGCACACGCCGTTGACGGATGGTGGTGTGAAGACGTAAATGGTATATATATATAGATAGATAGATAGATAGATAGATAGATAGATAGAGAGAGAGAGAGAGAGAGAGAGAGGGGGGGGGGTGCTCCTTTGGAACATTGGCAATACCTGGCCGTAAGCGGGGCTGGCGGTTTAACGGAGGGCGGTACAACGAGATTTGACTGTACATAGTTGTACTACGAGTACGAGCTTGAAAATTCCAGTTTTCCAAGTCCTGTTCCTTGACTGTTGAGAAGTTTTGTCAGTTGATTCTGTAATTATCTTGAAAATAAAAAAATAAAAAGTTTTAGAAAAGGGAGGATAATTAAACTTCACTTCACACTGCACTTAAACATAGTCCTTAGCACCCCCGGCCTCTCACGAGCCTGCTTGTATACATGACATATTATGTTACATGTACACGGACTGTGTGTTGGCTTCCAGACACATCAGTGTGGGCTGAGGTTTGTATTCAGATGGGTAAAGATTTCGACAGTCATGCTAAGCAGGCCTGTGCCAGGGTCCAATCAGTTAAGTTGTTTGTACTGATAAAAAAGTATTTTTAAATAACTGAATTCTCACGCCCCAAAACAAACTAGTTTTCACTACAAGTTCATTTAAGTTAATATCATGTACAACATCTTTGACGCTATTTTGATAATTTTGTTGCACATGACTGCTGGTTCTTGAGACTAGAACAAGAAGAAGTCATCTCATTAACTTATTTATACGTCCGGAATCCAGTCCGACAGTAGAGAACTGCGGGTAAAATTTCCCCCATTTTTACCCAGTTTGACCATGCAATTTTTCTCTCCATTTTTGAAACCTATATTATATCCATTTCCCCCGAAGTTTCAAGCGCCCGTTTCAATCAATTATGTTTAGAAGTCATGTAAAAATAGGTTTAAAAAATAATTAGCGATTTTGGGTCTTGTTTTAAAATATTTTCTTCATTTTTTCCAAATATTTATTTTTCCGACTTCAGATTACGTCTTTTCTGTTATTTTTCAGATGAATGGCTTCATTGTTTTACGCAATGTGTGTCCATAGGTGACCTTTACTGAAATAGAGCCCTTTTTGAAGATAGAAAATAAAGTTACAATGAGTGTTTTTGTTGGGAGTTTCAAGGCTTTTTGCTATTTGTCCATAGTAGGCTACATATTTCCAGAGTCCATAATTATTTTCATAATCGTAATATTACAAATCTCGCGTTATTTGTTCATTACCTTGGTGTTGTAGTTTGTACTTACTAAAAATGAAAGAGAGAAGATAGCCTTTGAAATTTGATGAAATTATCCAATATGGCAGACGTTTGCTTGCTTGGTTACCATGTGCTTTTAACAATAATTACTTGAATTTATTCTTTGATGTCTGATTAATATAATAAATATATCAGCGTTGCTATATTTAGTCATGGGATATAATGGATTTTAGAAATTTCACAAGCAGATGGCCTTTATAATAATAGAGCATTTGTATATCGCAAATCCCTGCTCAACAGCAAGCTCTGTGCGCTTCACAATCTATACTATTACCTCAGCAGACCTGAGAGCATTCTGAAACAGTCTCAACTTCCTGGGAATCATACAGTGCTAGCGGCCGTTGATAGGCGCTAAAACAACATACTGACAAGATCTTTCGCTGTCTATGGGCGGGTACCCATTCCCACCTGGATGAAGTGAGGTTCTCAACATTTATCATGGTCATCATCATTGCCTTTCTCACCCTGCACCAGGGTATAGGCCACGGACAAACACCTTCCACCTTTCTCTATCCCGGGCTAGCCTCTTGATGTTATTCCATGTCTTCCCACTTTTCTGTACATCGATTTCTGTGATTCTTCTCCAGGTCCCACGTGGTCTTCCCCTTGATCTCTTACCCTGTGGGTTCCAATCCAATTTATCATGGAACAGACACAAAAGTACAGAAACAAATCTTGATTGTTCAGTAGAATGATATTTTATTATACTGTTTTTCTGCTCTCAGTTGCTTGATATTATTCACAGATACAACAATGACTGTATGGTACTTGTACAAGCAAACATCACACAGTTATATACGCTAACGTGAAGATGTCATTTGTGTGTGGGGGTAGAACAGGAAGGGGGGAACCACATTATCATGGTTGTAGGTGTAGAGTGGCCACGGATCATGCACAGAGATCTCTCAGCCTGTGAGGCAGTCATGAGCAACTGAATGAAGATGTTGAAACCTATCTCTGTACATTTCACTACTTTCACAAAGACAACTGCATTCACAAAGTGCATTGCATCTAAAACATCCTATTTTATCTTTAAAAAAGACACAAAAATATAGATGTGCAGTAGTTCCTTGTCATTGACACACATGGTGAATGAATACTACATGAGGAGGAATGAAATGAGATGTCATGTTGTACAGTACACATACCATAATGAACAGTTGTCCAGTTTAGTGAGTAAGAAATATATTGCACCTACTTTAGTCCCCACTTTACAACGCAATGTAATCAATATAGAATCTACATATATAATATTATTTTATCCACGTGAATAAAAATATGTGTCACGACGTGTTGGAATCAGGCGCTCGTCAATTTTTGGGCATATGGAGTTATGAGTGTCATCTGAAAGCTGATTTATTTGCCTTGCTTCCAATGAAATAAATATCCATTTACCTTGAATAGAACTCATGACTCAAGATATTTGTGATTGAAGGAAGTTAGGTTGCCTGGTTTCAGTGGTGAATGAAATTAGTGAGAAAATGGCTGCCAAATTTTGGTAACTCCAATAGCTAAAGAGCCTTTAAAAACAGAAAAATGACATCTTTTTTTTTGCCTTTAATCAATGTTTTTAAAATAAAATTCAAAAGGAAATGCGTTTTTATATGGACATAAAAGACGTTAAGTTAAAAAAAATAATCCATAAAAATGTTTAAACTGGTGGAAAAATGCCTGTTGCTCTGATTTCGTTATTTTGACGAGCGCCTGATTTCACCATGCTGCCTCACATATATATGTGGTACACTGTGCAAGAAAGTCTCCGACTCAGATCTGTTTTGTTGGTTTCTATCAAAACTCAAACGAAAACTTTCTTCATTACTGTAGGCCTACCTTTCAAAAATTGAATTTTTTTTTTCAAAAGACAAGTTAAGGTTCATGTTTCTCTATTGGACGTCATTCTAAAATATATGACGGTAACAGTCGCAGACTGTGTAAGTCTGAAACTAGGTAAGGTTTTATTTTTGTCTGCAGTGAAAAGACGGCTTAAAAAACCCTCTTGCATCGTGTCTTCATATACGCACATTTAACAGGTGAAACTTTTGAAATACGACAGTCACATATTGTGCGTTCATCCATTTAATGGCACCCTTGCTTGCACATTGTTTTTCTTGAAAGTAGTAATCTCTGATTAACTATGTTTGCAGCTCTTACCGTCAATACAGTCAATTATTGAGCCACACATTTAGAATCAATATTATTTAAATATGCCCCTCTGAACCAAAAGAATTTTAAACTTATCAATAAAATCATTCAGGGAAAAATTCGTTTGACGGTATTCGGGGTGGGAGGAGCTACAGTGGGTCATCTAAAATAAAATTGACTGACTGACCTAGTCCTGGATCAAAGGGCTTTGTAACTTTCAAGCTAGGATTTTTAAAATAATGTTTGACAATGGTTCTGAGCACTCTGAATTCTGGAGACAAACAACCCCCCCCCCAAAAAAAAACAAAACAACCCATGCAGGTTTAACTAAAAACTCATTTGGGTAGATGATGTACGGTTGCTTCCACATAATCTTTGATAATTTTGCACATTTCATTTCAGGACAAACTCATTTCCGTGAATTTTTATCCAGCTCAAACATGTCGCTGAATTTAAGCAGACATAATTTCACAAAGCATTCAGAACAAACCAGATGATTAGATCTGGGAATATCAGTCAGGAATCGACATCACTGTCACTATTTGGAGTATCGTCAATAACATGTATCTCTCTGTGCTTCCCTCTGTTGTCTCGCTTTATCCTAAATTACATTACTGCTGGAACTACAACTATGAGAGCAGTCAGCACAAATGGAGAGTGTTTGTATTGGCTGGTCATATTAAAGCTGAGAAATACATTGCAGAGGTGAGGGAAACTGACTAATTGTTAAAAAAACAAAGAAAAAGGAAAGGAGAAAAGGTTTCAATAGACAAATATATAAGCCCAGCCTTGTTTGTAGTGGTAGGCACATACATACTTCTTTCTTTGATGAAAAACTTGTCCAAAGCATATATATATAAGTATACTGGTACATGATTCAGAACATGTTCTTCAGCTCTTATGCTCACTTTGAAAATTTTTGGCAGAATGTCAGACAATCGACTTGTGGGTCATGTCAAAGTAGAATCAATGGTGCGATCAAAAGACATTATTTGGCACTGTCTAGAACATGAAAGGCGCTATAGGATGTTATATTGCTGACTAACCCTCACGGATAGTTTCTTAAACAACAAATAAATAGTTAAATAGCATTCTAAGTAGCATAACAGACAATCAAGAAGGTGAGAAACTTGACGGTCACGATTGTTATTTGGATAAAAACTACGGTAAACTCTGGTACTTTTTTCCAGGATGATGTTACAATATTCATTGCTCGTGAAAACTCTAGACCTATACTGCTATGTGGAAATGAACAGAAAAATAATAAATAATAGCCTACCAAACACGGACCAGTTTTTCAAGTTGAACATTTTTCTGCCTCTTGTTTTATTTTCCCCCACATCATAGAAAAAAAGGAGCTCTCCTTTATGACAGATGATTTAGGAATTCTGTGGCACTTCCACACACTGTTTACTACTTCTGGAGATGTTGACATATTGAATGATTATGCATGTTGCAGATGAGAGATGCATAACTTCATATTGTAGTCATGAAGACATACAATGAAATGTACATTACAAAGTCACTCATTCGTGTCAGGATTTTCTGAGTATTTGTTCTAGATGTTTATGATACATATAATATTATAGATCTATGAAAAAGCACCATATGAATGAACTGCTATCAAAAATAAGTAAAACGAAGAATGGTTTTTCCCACACCTCGGATTAAGTCGGGGGAGAAGCTGCTTTGAACTCAAAATAGTGCCTTTTTAAGCTTAACTAGGAATACAATGTATAAGTATACACTTAACCCTGTATTCTTAAAGAAGTTCTGGGCCTGTAGATTACAAACTGTGATTTGGGGAAAGGGGGGGGGGAAATCCAACCTAATGTTCACCGCAAAGTTGAAACAAGACAGAGATCTTGGTGGTCATCATTGTCAAACCAGCTTTCCCCCCAAATCTGATCAGAACAAATGCAGGAGAAAAGCTCACAGACATAACAGACAAGACGAAGTCATGTACTGGAACTAGGACAAAGAGGGAACCCTCCTCATCTTTCTGCAAATAACTCATTCATGTATTCATGACAGGAGCATGGGGAAAATGTGTCACGATGTGGTGGAATCAGGCGCTCGTCAATTTTGGGGCATATGAGGTTATCGGTATCATCTTAAAGCCTGTTTATTTGCATTGCTTTCGGTGAAAATTTTATTAATCTGTATAGAATAGAAATAGAAATAGAAATATTTGTTACTGAAGGAGGCGAGGGGCGCCTGGTTTCAGAGGTAAAATTAGTGAGAAAATGGCTGCCAAAGTTTGGTAACTTCCAGAGGCTAAGAGTCCTTGGAAACTGAAAATTGTCGCTTTTTGTGCCTTAAATCAACGTTTTTCCAGTACAACTCACACTGAAACGTGTTTTAAATGAACATTGAAGGTGTTGCGCCAAATAACAAAATTTCGATAGAAATTGCAAAACCAGCGAAAAGGAGTCATTTTCTTTACTTTCATTATTTTGACGAGCGCCGGATTTCACCACGTTGCCTCACAAATAATTATCATATTCAGGGTTGACATTTTCCAAAACGATAGAGAATGAAATTTCATTTGAACAGCTTTAACAGCCATCTGCCTACGACAGTCATTGGTACAATCGACCACTTCCCACTTGGTGTATTTTTAAAATATCATAATGACACTGTGTAAGACGTTCATCTGTCTGAGACAATCACTTTTCTCTAGATGGGCGGCCATCTCGTACTATTTCGACAGTATTTATTTTAATCTATTTAGATGTCATGAAGTATTCTGTAGTAAGATGATAAGTAATGTGCCTTTTTTTCTAAGTTCCAACTTTGTTCGACAAAATCCATACATATACATGATTGACCTCTTTGTTGTCTGGTAAGATGTAGCCAGTATCTGTGTTTTTTCCATGTTCCAAAATTATCTGACAATCACACTGGTGACTCTCACTGCTATCAACTATCAGTCAGAGACAATTAATTACATGTTTTAGCATTAATATTTATACATCTATCTCCCTAATAATATTGAAAGAAACAATTACAAGAGGGTACAGGTGGATGCAAGGCACCACTGACAGGTCATATTCCTCAATCTCCCTGTCTTGATCTTTTCCAGCACTTTATACGACACTTTGTGTTGAAGTTGAAGTACCTCTCTTTACCTCATCAAATCAACCAAAATAATACCTCTTTGACTGATGCCACTGTTCAATAATATTCCATAAATGTTTCAGTATCCATCACTCAAAAACCCATTCCTGTTCACTAATGTATGAGTTGACTAAACACAAAACTGTATAAAACTAAGTTGAAGTTGAACTGCCAAACTACATTTTTAGATGAAAGCAAAGCAATCAGTTTTTTCTCTTTGATGGAATCAAACAGGCCAAACTCTATTGTATTGTAAATGTCAACCATAAACTCATAAAGAATGCATATCCTACAGCAACTGGATGTAGCCAGTCATTACACGGGTCATTTTATGTAAGAAGCCTAGTGTGCTCGTACCGTATCTCCCCCAAGAGTATGCATAATCCCACTTTGTATCTATCTCTATATAAAATGAGGGTGGTTGGATGGCAGGAGCTCTGGTGTGGTTTGCGCCTTCTTTCCTACCAAACATCTCTTACCCTTATCTCTTCTCCATCTTTTTTTTGTGTTTGTTACTCTCTTGCAACACCTCTAATTTTCGGCACTTATAAGGCCTACTTGTGTTGCAAGGGCCGTGAAACTCTTTTAACAACAAGTGCTAGTATCTCCCCCAAGTCACGGCACATGATGTCATGTCACAATCACACTTTGTATCCGTCTAAATGAAGTCATGAGGGCATTGTGAACGTGGGGACGTGAAATATCGTTTCTTAGAAAAAAAGAATAATTTACAGTTGGACGACAACATTGAAACATACATTCGTATTGTATAAGAAAGAAAATGGAAACATTGAAAGTTTGGAGCAACTAAACATTTACAAGAGCTCACTATGGGCTTGGTAAGACCTAATGTCTTCCAAGGTCAATACGTCATCTCGGTCTCGAGGAAAAAAGACAAAATAAATTACAGAAAATTAAGAGCAAAGCACCACATGACATACTGATAATACCATTGAGCACTGAGTTTGAAATCTCTAAAGAATTGTAGAAAGAAAAAATAAAAAAAAACAACAACACATTATTATTACCTCAATGTTGCACTGGAGTTATAAATCTAGCCAGGATCTGAAAGTGTTTTACCCTCCCTGAACTAAAGAACTGTTGAGACGCTGCATCAGCAAAGCTATTAGATTACAAAATAAAAGACATTATAGTCCCCCCTCCCTCAGCCTCCCTTGTGACCAAAAAGATGGAAGAAGATAATTAAATCAGACGCTTTTCTTCAGTTACTCCCAATTTCTGCAAAGGAACAAACAGCAATACCTGCAGAACACAGTAGTCTCTGCCTATACACAAACACTGTAAACTCACCCTCTGCTCAAAGAAATTAATAATTTAGCCACAAGAAAGAAAGATTTTTCATTATGATTACTGTGCTAGACCAAGTCCAAACCCATTTTGAAATGCATGCTTCGTTCTGCAAAACTGGCCAAGATTGAGCGATATTTTACAAAAGCCAAGGCTAATTCGGTAATAGAGAGTAATGCTATCACAAAGGGCAAGTAAAGATATTTGAATATTTGGCTCCATGAACCAGTCGGAAAAGTAATTTCTTTCTGAATTCAGTCAGACATCCCAGTCCTTCTATCCTCCCACTCTTTAGGCAGAGACTACAGTACTAGAAGTAATGCACACTAAAGTATGTGTACATAAACAGCAGAAAAAGCTCCTACTACACATGGTATAGAGATCACTCAACCGTATGACCTTATGTAGAGTTGCGAACCCCCCCAAAAAAGAAGAAAGCAGTCACTATTCACAACATTCAGATCCTGGGTAGACGTCTGAACCTCATGCCCTCTAACACACTGGCACTAAGTCATCAACTGTACACTGGAGTGAAAGACAAAAGTATCGACCTGAACAAATATGTACAATTGATAGAAACCCATAGTGTGTATCATCGTCTTAGAAGATATAAAAAAAAATTCCCAAGGTCATATTACCTGGGGCTATAACTTGTTGTAGCATCCATTTGCAAGCATCTCCACAATGTCTGTTACGCTACATTCAGATCAATTAAAAAGAAAAAGAAAAAAAACCCCAATGTTTTTTTCAGTCTATCGTTAGCTAAAAAAATGCACATCATGTACAGGTCCTATGAAAATATTATAGATAATTGAAAGAACTTGCAGAAAAAAGAGCAGCTGATTTCAACACTTGAGAAATTAAAGACATTTTGAGGGGGATAAACAGCATTTTTCTTTACAGAGATGTCTTTTATCAAAGTATTTTTAAAAATCATTTCATTAGTTGCTCTAACAAGTCCCCTGCCAGTATCGTGAGGTAAAGCAGACTGGAATGTGCACACAACAGGCAGCTGATGCAGTTACAGCAAGGAACTGACCCTGACTGACCGCTCCTAACTGCCAGTCATACCTAAGGCGTGTTGACCGTTGATTTACATTCAACACAGACTTTAAGCTGGACCGTTGAGGCATTTTAAGCATATTGCCGTAAATGTATTCTCTTTATATAACAACTTGACCCTACAGGCTTTTTATTTCATCGGAGCTGCAAAATCTAATTCAAAGAACATGAAAAAAAAGTAAAGACATTTCATTTTTGCTACTTTAAACATTACCTACAGTAGATTGTAATGAAATAATTAAAGCTGGCAATTGTGGAAAAACAAACAATTACAAACAACATACAAATATATTTATAGCAATGATTAGCAGAGATACTTCTGTAAACATCCATCCACATCTTTATAAGCAATATTTCCTTATTATTCTGACCTCTTTAACAGCTATGGATAGAAAAAACAATTCATTTGTATCTCATTTTCAGCTCATTTGTCTATATAAGTCATCTGGTAATTTTCTCCCCTTGGAATTCTAAGCACTTTTTTACTTCAATGAAATGGAAAACGAGCAGAAAGCTGGTCAATTTTTGTATGGAAATTGCATTAAAAGGATAAAGGAATTCCTACGGAAGTAAAAGAGTTTCCCATCAAAGGAGAATTGACAAGTCATAAGGGTAGAAATATTTTTTCACCTCAAACCACTCTTATACTTAAATCTATATATACATAGCTCCCCATTATAAATACCTGTGAACAAAATAAATAATCCACGTAAGTGAAAAAAAAATTTGATTTTTTGAAAATAGCGTAGGAGGGTCTATATTATGCAGATCTCTTTGTCTTCAGTAGAATTAACACAAAACACGTAACACTTCCATCACTTCTCTCCCTAGACAAGTGTACGTCCCGACCCCAGAAGCTACTCCTTGAAAGAAAAATGGCATTAATGTACAGAACCCGATGATTGCACTGAACACATGAGCTGCGGCATTGGGTAGGGGGGGCAGGGAAGGAGAGAAAAGAAAAAAAGCGCCGAGATCGTTGTCCGAACGCTAGTAACTTCTCACACGGCACACACAGGAGGAGAAGCTACCTCAAAGCCCTACAACATCGAACAGCAAGCCACAATAAACACTTCCCAAAAAGCCAGATTTACTATCTGCACACAAAGCCTGTCCCATTCTAGCCCTAAATGAGATGACACTGACAGAGACCATCTGGCCTCTTGAACAAGAAAACCATTGTACCACAGAAGCCTGTCTTAATCTTTAAAAAGTTGAAATTTCTGTATCAATGAATTAGTTCTTTCACATTCCAATCAAGAAGTTTTTTTAAACAAAAAAAGTGCAAAAGATATGTGGCTTTAATGGAGAGAACATTGAGAAAGGAATAGGATGTGGTCACCTTTTATATCACTTGCAGCTTTCCTTAACTAGCTCGGCATACAAGTGCTAACCACCCCACCAGTCCAGGGAGCCCCTGGATATCACAGGGCAGCTTCGTCGGGCAACAAAACAGAGAGTCTCCAGCCTATTCCCTGTACAACAGTGACTACAGTCTGAGCAGTGTCTACATCACATTGTGAGATGGTGTGGCCCTGCCAACACGCTCATAGTCAAACAAAAGTTTAATTAATATCAAAACAGAAAGTTACGCACATCGTAAATACACAGGCTGCTGTGTTGCCCTCCGGTAGTAGTCACAAAGTTGCCTCAGTCTCCAGCCAGTAGTGACTTGACAGACACTGGTCCCAACACTCCACAGAACAAAGAGCACACAGTAAAGCCTGCAGAGTCTACATCAGTAGCGGAAACAGCTCCTTCGAGGTAACACAAAGTAATTGTCCAGCAACTGCGAGTCTGAGAGGTGATACAAAGTGAGCGTGAGATGTGGTAGCTAAACATGTTTAACGGTCACGCAAGGGTTGCTCCGCATCTCCAAGGGAGTTCTGCCAAATGACCAGCGAGGGAACATCGGGTGATATTTTGAGGACACTCAGCCAGGTCAATACAACAGCTGACTTTCACCATGCAAATCCACAAACAAGGAGTGGGACCAGTTTACCCTCGCCAGTTGAATATGCGACAACTGTGAGAGGGAGGCCGGAATCGGCTTAAAAGACGTATCAGACTGTCAAAGACTAGAATCAAGGAGGAGGTGTTGACTTCTCCGTGTGCAGAGATACTTTCCTGTGGGGTGGAGGAAGTTTGTCCATTCCTACACTACCGCTCGCGAGCGGCCTCTGTACAGCTGAGCTGGGGTGAAGTCTTTCCGGTGAGGACCTCCGCCTCACCATGGGCGAGCCTGGTTCACAGCTTTTGGGTCTGTTCAGCGACGGTTTGACCGAGTGGTGGGAGGAACTGTCACTGCTTGAGGGCTGAGTGCTTACCTTGACCGGTGAGGTGTGCAGAGCTTTCTTACAGCTTGGGGCTGTGGTGCCGTGTGGCTGAGAGGAGCTGTGGTGGGCGGGGATTGTCTGCTGGGGCAAGTTCGAGCTGCCAGCCTGATGACCTTGTGGGAGGGCTAAGGGGGAGGGGCTTCGGGCTGGGGAGGCTGTTGTTGCCGAGGGTGATGGGGTTCGTGCTAAGGGGGACAGTGGGAAGTTGTGCACCGACTTGCGACGGTGTGGGGACTTGAGGCTAGCTGTCTTCTTGTGTTTGACAACATGGAGAGAGCTAGGCCGGCCAAAGTGGGCCGCGGCTGCAGCTTGATTGGCGGGAGAATCCGGAGCACTGGAGCAAGGTGAACTTGAGGTCGAAGAACCAGCTTGTGACGAATCGGGGGACCACGGGACAGAGATGGGGGGTGACCGACCCAACTTGGCATGATGTGGTAATGCAGTCCCTTCTCCGGTCGAGCAAGAACGACTCAGCGGTGTGAACTGCTGCCGGCCGGGCGGGTGGTGGTGGGGTGGGGGGCCGTGGCCGAACAAGGGCTCTGTCTTCTTGTTGCTGAGCCGACGCAAAAGGTTACGTCCCTTCTTCTTCTCTGCTGCCTTGTCCTTTTGTTGTTTTTTCTTCTGGCTGCGTCGTGCCATCTTGCCACCCTTACGGCGAGAGCCCTCGCGGATGCTGGTCTTGTCGAGAGGAACAGCTCGGATGTTGACGATGTTCCCTGAGCTGAGGAGGTGAACCACCTGGGTGTGTAGCAAACTCTGCACGGTCTCATCATTGATGTGTGTAATCAGGTCGCCAGCACGCAGGCCTGCCTCAAAGCTTGGGCTGTTGTTGACAACCTCCTGTACAGAGAAAATGACGGGAACATACAGTGAGTGTTTATCTAGCTAAAAGAGCTCAGGTAGAGTAATTTCTGTAAGTGACAGTCATTGAGTCTGCTGAAGAAGGGTTGTGGGTGAAATGTTCAGTGTATACCTCCTGTGTAATTTCTGAGACTTCAAATACAACTACAGTTAAGTCTGCTCTAACAACCACCTGTCCAAGACAACCATCTGTCCAAACTCTTCCCGTGCGTTTCAAAAAATTATAATGACACTGTCTACAAGGACCACCTGTCGAAAATGACCTCTTTTCTCCTCCACTATGGGTGGTTGTCTTGGACAGGTTCAACTGTATATGCCATTTCTGAAGCTTTAAATACAGCTACTTTGAGAGTTCTCAAGAGAACCAGCCTCATTAATAAGCGGCAAACACAGTACATCAGTAGTATCAAGCACAAGCAGGCAAAGTCTTACTGACGTGGTAAGGAGTTAGACTTGCAATACAAAAGTTTAGAGCATTCATTCGGGTACAGACGGCACGAATATAATGGAAAACTTGAAATCATGGATAGCTCCTACAAGTAGCCATTCCCCAACTGATATCTCTTTAACTTTCACAATATGGTTTACCGGAATTGAAAGGTATATCACAATATTATCCTCAATTCTCCCAGACACAGTGAACAAAGGGTGCTGCACTGTGTCAAAGATAGTACATAACAAGATGGGCCACTCAGCCAAAAAAGTGTCCGCAGGAAGTTCGCTCTTTGCTTCAGATGACGCTGCAGTCTGTTTTGAAGCTCTCTTTCGTTTTTCCAGAAGAAAAATAGGAATAGCACCTCCTTGCGTGCACAGATCGACTGCTGTTCATCAGCAGTTCGGGTTCGTTCAGTGTGGAGTTTTAGTTTTTAAATATTTTATTGACCTCCAGCCTTTCATTCTAAAGTCAAATTAAACGAAGAAAACAATCACCCTTTCCTCCGGAAGATGTTTTTTGTCAGCGTAACAATTTTTAAAAAGCGTTCTTCCGAAATTTATTCAAAAACTTGCTAGTTTCACTTTGATTTTTTTTTACCTCAAGTAGGGTAACTCTGTTCGCAAAAGGTGCGCTTTTGCGGAGAGGGCGCCACCGAATTTTGAGGACACTTTTTTAATTGGCTCAAAGAGAGAAGTGGCCCCTCTTGTTGTGTAGACTCTTTGACTGTGTCTATCAGAATGGTCATTGCTGGTTCCAATACTGTTTGCACCGACGTTATATGGTGCCACTATGCAACACTGATGTTATCTCTCAATTACATGTTTTTACTTCATGCATGCATAGCACGTCATGTTATTGCAGAAAATATGTCCCCACAGAGATAAATAAAAGTGATTTTTTTTTCTTTCAAATTCATTCAAAACTATAGCCATACTTATCAAACAGCCAGGTTTAAACATATCAGGTATCAAGCCTGAAACAATGGAATTAAAAAAACAGAAGAAGAAAACATTTATGTCTTCTGATTTTGGCTCACTATATTCCATTTTCTTAGAGATTCAGGCCACACTAGCCAGCATGCCTCTGCCCGTTTCATTCTTTCAGTACTGTGTTTTTTTACACAAAAGGCGTGCAAGCAGATCATCCAGCATCTAACACATCCATCTCCAACAAGAAGGAGGTTGCCCCCATGAAAACCTCAAAAGAAGCTTCCTTTCAGAAATGCTTTGACAGACATTGAACCCACGGGCCTGCAACACAGTCAGTTTCTTTCCAACTGAGTTCACAACAAGCTATACCAAAACTGTACTGTGCAAACTGTATCTCGTAAAAGCTCTCATTCACCGTGACAATGTGCTGTAGAGTATACACATCCGACTCTCCGATGTAGACCCGCACGGAGCGGAAGCTGAACCCAAACCCTCGGGCTCCGCGCTTCAGGATGATGGGAGGTTTGAGGCTGCGTGTGAGCGGTGACGTGTCGCGGTTGGGAGAGCCGTCCCGAGAACTGGTGCTAGATCCTCCAGGTGATGTGGCTTTGGGGGCGGAGAATTCATCTGGGTGGGTGGGGGTGGGGGGTAGAAAGGAGGAGTACCATGGGGTTAATGAGGTGAAAGATATGGGGATCATAAAATGTTCACCAAGCCCCCACAAGTTTGCACCAAATCATAAGATAGATAACCTTTACTAACCTACATATTGTACAAAGATCCAACCACATAACCATCATCCCACTCGAATACCCGCATCTCTCTGTTCCCCTATATATATACATACACCCTCAGCAAAAAATCCCCCCCCCCAAAACAATGAACAAAAGAAAGAGAAAGAGAGAGAGAGAGAGAGAGAGAGAGAGAGAGAGAGAGAGAGAGAGAGAGAGAGAGAAAGAAAGAGGGAGAGAAAGAGGGAGAGGGGGAGGGAGAGGGGAGAGAGAGAGAGAGAGAGAGAGAGAGAGAGAGAGAGAGAGAGAGAGAGAAAGAGAGAGAGAGAATGAGAGAAAGAGAGAGAATGAGAGAAAGAGAGAGAGAGACGGATATCCTTTTCTTCCTTACCTCCTGTGGTTGTGATGAGCAGCGTCAGGGCATTGGCAGAGACAGACTTCTGTATGGAGGACTTGCTGTCCGTCTTGCCCTTCTGAGCCTCCGCTTTCTCTTTGCTGCCTTCTTTCCCTTCATCCACTGGGGACAACTCTGGGCAGACAGAACACAAAGAGTAGAAAACGTGTTATTACGCTGTGTTATTATGAGCAGCAGTACACGTATGCGGCCAATCAGCATGACACTGACCACATTTTGTTTGTCTAAACAGCAAGGAGCACATCGACATCATATTGGTCATTTAGTATAAGAAAAGAGTTACAGACAAACATACAGAAGCAACAGAGGGAAAGAAAAGAAGCAGAACTTACAACAGGTATCCTCCAACCATTCGCAAAAGAAAAGCAGAACTTAAAACAGGTGCCCTCTTACCACCAGTAGACCCCATTTTCCCAGAAAATGATTGGGATAATAGGTATAATAGTCATAAAAAACAGACCAAACCAAAGCCTTCCAACTAAGCACGAGCCCAAAAAGAATAGAGTCAATCTTCCTCGCCTTAAAACAACACAGATTCCATGAACAGTGGAAAGAAAGAGAGGGTGAATGTATTCAGGCAGAGTGCAGTGAAAATTAAAGAGCAAAAATATCAGTCACTAAATACAAGCATACTTGCCAAAGTGTCAAAACTCATATTCAACATATTCATTCAACTCCTTCTGCAAGATGGAACTTTCAACTCTTTAACACTTACAGGCTCATATAGCGAAAAACCTTTGGGTACTGTACCAGTTTAGAACGCTGAAGCTGTGGTAGAATTTGTTTAAATTAGCAAAACCTTGGCAGCCCAAGAAACATGCTTACTTAAAAAATTAACAGAGGTTCATCAACAATTCAGGTATCAAATAGAGTGACTTCCTTTGGTATTCACTTCAGTGCAGCGAGTCCATTTGTGTTGTTTAATTACGTTTTGCTTACCCTGTAAAACAAGTTACGATGGCATAAGCATTTTTCTTTGAACAGTGATGATCCACTGTGTTCTCACCTTTGGGGCTGGGCGGCTTGTCCTCCTCTGAGGAGATGGCAAACTTGGGAATGACACTCTTGATGGGCGGCTTGTTGGCCCGGGACACTTGTGGGGAGTTGCACGAGTCGCTGTCCGTCTGTGACGAGTCTGACACACTCATGTTGTCACTGGCGCGTCCAAGTCTGCGGAGCAAACAGGACATTCGGATAAGGTATCGCTGTACTAAAGAAAAGAACACCAACATGATCACAAAGGCTTAGTGCTGGGAAAAACCCCAGTCAGACAGACAGCAGGCAGAAGAAAAAATGGCAAGAAATAGGACCAACCAGAGGCGCCCTCCAAATACCTGTAAGAATTCTGTTCCCTAGAAGAGGACCAAGAGGTCTAAGCTACAAAGACATAAAAAATAAAATCTAATGCTTAATACACACAATCTCAAATACTCCACCTAAAAATCACATACCACCAGCAACTGAGAAAAGGAAAAACTTTCCACAGCTTGCCTTTTTATTGGACACTTGTAGAGGTGGTCTGTTTCCATAGAAAACCTTAGACACAAAAATAAAATCAGGAACGAAAGCTGAAAATATAATTCCTGTACAGCAGCTCCCCCAAAAAGCCCAACTCACGTGTCATGTTCATCCTCACGGTGGCTACGGTCACTGTGACTGTCTGTCGTGTCCGACAGTATGCTGTCCTTGCGACGAATCATCTCAAGTGAACCCTCGGAGCCCTCTGACTGGTTGGAGTCCTTCCGTTCCAGTGCCCTTCTTTCTAAAACTCTTGCTCTGAAGTCGTCTGCACTTGAGTGTCGTCTACGTTCGCGCATTTCCTAAAAGAACATCCCCCCAAAAATGAGTTAAGAGTCAACAAGGCATAATCATGGAGCATTTGACTCACTTCACATTATGTTCCAAATTCTCAGAAAAAATAATCCTTGAGAAATCAAAAGAAGAACAAACGACAATAACAAATTCAGTAGTCAACTGCAGTATAACGCAGTTTCAGTTGAATAAAGAGGAACACACAGACATAATAAAGTCATTTAATGCTAAGAAAGAGCAAGTTCGATAGACAGACACAACAGACGAAGAAAGAAAAGAAAAAAAGAAGATACGGTCTCAGAAGAATTAAAGGTCTCAATAGGAAACACTTGTGAACAGTCACTCATATTATCTATGACTTTTTTTGTCATAGATAATATGAGGGACTGTTCACAAGTGTTTCCTGAGACAGTCTGACATTATCCAAACAGTGACCTAGGGTCATGTGTTCTAATTCATGCTATAGACATGTGAAAGATCTGACTATAAAGGCTTTTACAGTCGTTAAAAAGGAATTTCATCACTTGTTAAAAGTCAGGAAAACTCTCAACACTATCTGATCTAACTTGAATGTACAACAATTGAAACCAGGGATCAATTTACTTGGTTCCAACATTTAGGCTGACTTAAACATTTCTCATAAGTATGTCAGAAAAAACTACCAGAATTTCTAAAAAAACTTCTCACGTGCATGTCAGACAAACACAATTTCTTTGTCATGTATCCTGGTAATCAATATTTTCAGAATATGACAAATATATGCAAAATGATTGTGTAGAGACAAGTAACGACTAAACATTAGTTGAATAAATAAGAGTACAAATGCAATGCTTGAGTGTGTTGTGCAGATCAGTTATGAATTGAATTAGGTGTAGCTATAGATATGTATATATGAAAACAAATACAAGGCAAGCTTATATGTATAGAGCATTCATATTCAACATTCAGAAGAGTGCCCAGTGGATACTAGTGCGACCTGTGTGTCCACGGTCAGAACGGTGTCCCATTGATAGAGCATATTACAAGAATGAGACATCCAGAGCCAGGGCAACCACAGAGAGAACTACTGTGGCAGGCAATTCTTTCTTAGACTCTCCTCCTGGACCATTTGCAGACAAAGCGACATCAGAATATTGTGATCGATTTGAACTTTGTGAAAACTCACAGAGAAAGAGAAGCCAAGGGAACATTATAAAGGTGAGGAAAGAGGAGAGAAAGACACTGCATTGTAATTTGCTGAGATGACGAGCATAATTTGGGCTTTTTGCGTGAGATCCTCATACAACAAAGACAATGTTCACTGGGCATTTGTATGAGCTGGAAAGGAACACATCAGCAAATTTAAAGGAGTTAAAAACCTCGACTTGCCATCATGTAAGTAGGGTATTCTGCCTACACAATACAGAACTTCTCCAAAATTAAGTCCTGATGAACAAACAGATGACAATGTCCAGTTGGTGATAACAAAAAGCAACATTGTCAACAGATGTGGACACCCAAAACAGTCCTGCGGTGCTTGCACAATGCTTAATTTTGAGGTGCATGACAAAAGAAGATCAGAATGAGAAACAGATCAGAGCCAGCAACAGGGCACAAAGCTACAATACAGAAACCATATAGACAAAAACTGGTGCCCTGCCCATACTTATTCTTTTTTTCAACAAAGGAGGAGGAGGAGGTTAGAAGATGAATTATGTACAAATGACATAGGTGGGTTGGAGGACAAGAATTTGGACATGAAGAACGAGACAGAAAAGAAGTAGAACCTACCAGCAGAGCTCTCATATTCCCAAATCAAAAGTGGTGGAAAAAATTATAACAAAGATTAAAGACAAAATTCCACCTTAACGAGTACAAGACCATAGATCATTTGCTGTTGGTGTTCAGAAGTGAGGTGTGACAGAATGTGGCATCTCATGACGGCCAATCATAAAAGACTGAGACGTATATCACGACGGCCAATCATAAAAGACTGAGACGTAGATCATGACAGTTGCACGTTAAGATCGTCTGTTCCGATACATGTGACAACATGGAGGGCTGAGGGCTGAGACACTCAAAGGGGGGGGATATCGAGGGTGGGAGGTGTCAAGGTGGGGGGTATCGTAGGTGGGGGGTGGGGGGTAGGGGAGGGGAAAGCAGGAAGAACAAGGACTGCAGAATATTCAACGTATTGGGAATAAGGAAACGAACAGTTGATTACAGAGGGATAGTGAGAGGGGATTCAGGGAAAGAAAGGAGTATACAAACAAGGACTTGATATCCTTGTACTGGTAAAGTTCAAGAAAGAGGGGGGTTGACAGGGAGAGGGATGAAGAATAATAGAGGGGAAATACTGGGAAAGCAAGAGGTACAAGGGGCTGAATGATATCCCAGGTTCAGGGTGAAGAAGAACATTGATCGAGGGAAGGTAACTTCCATGGGAGGGTAACATGGAACACGTGGACACCACATAGATTCTCCTTGAGAGAACAACACTCCATCCACAGATAAGGCCATAGAACTCGTTATTCTGACAGGTCTGTCTCAAACAGTAGCCCTGACACAGACTACATAGAACAATAAAAATGCCGTTACGGATAGTCAAGTGAATCTGGAATGAGAACCACTTCCAGAGACTGAAGAAAAAAAAAAGTGACTTAAATATCTGAATATTAGTAAGAACAGGCTTGTAACTATTTGTCCTCATCACTTTCATTTTTCAAAATAAGCAAAATATCCAAAAGAAAAAGTTAATATAAAACATAATTTGTAACAATAAAAAAAAATATTTAGAATATATATTTATGATGAGAATAATCTTAGAATACATAAACAAGATAATTAAAAAAAACTAGGATTACTTTTGAGAAATAAAATAAAAATTGATGAGGACAGTGATAAAAATAATATTTTCTCAATGTTAGTCTATTATTGCTAAAATATCATTTCTACACAGTGGTGCTGGTGAGTCCGTACTGGGTGAGAGCCGGGAAAATACCCACCCTTGTCCTACTTCCACTACTTGCTTCAAAATGATCTATCTCGACAAAATAAAATTTCCTTTTAGCGAACCTTTGTATATGACTATCCTGAAGCATTGGCCAACACCTGATTGTGACTTACAGCCAGTGGGCTCACTCCATCGTGTGAGGCAAAAAATTTTTTTTTAATCCTCAAAATACAGAAAACTTAACATTTCCAAAGATGAGGGATTTCGACAAAAATTTTTCAATTTCTTACAAATATTCCCAGTGATGAAATTTATTTTTATACATTTTTCTTGGTGAATATAGTCAAATTTTATATTCGTTTCCCCTCTTTAGTGCATTTATCCTCTATTGTTAAAAAATGATGCAGACAAAACCTATTCAAACAGTACTTTGAGGGTTCTAGCTCGTTCTACAGTTACTCCTTCTGGCCTATAACACAGAGAATACCTTTACTACAAGTGTTTGCTTGTAGAAGAAAAAAGAGACTTTTTTAGCTGTATCAATAACTCAAGTATCCATCTGCTAAAAGTCTATCCTAACCACTTTTTTGAGAGGTTAAAAAAAAAAAATGCCCAAGAAGAAATGCATGTCAAGACGAGAGCCCCATGCTCTAGATAGAGTCCCCGTGCTGGTTGAGGTGAGGCCGGGGTGACAACATCCATTCAACACCCAGCGGCTACAGAGGTACGACGGTGAGCACGGGCGGCCGGCGGCCGCGCAGGCCGAGAACCAAAGAGTAGAATAGTGACCTGTGGAGGGACGAGAGCGTAAGGGCTGAGGAGGGCCATGTTTACATCGTGTATGAGCGGTTCCAGCCCACGGTTGTAGACCCGCGAGTAGCGTGGCGAGCAGGAGGAGAAGCTGTGGAACAGAATGTCCTCCCCGTCATCCTCCGTCTCTTCCCCGGCCTCAAGGTCGTGGTTGTAGCGGTCGATGCGGCCTGAGGAGAGGAGAGAAAAAGAGCGATGGTTAAAAATGTAGGGGCTGACACAGTATAGAGACATGGAGGAGATGGAGGGGGAGGAAGAGCGAGAGAGGGGGAGGGAGAAGGAAAGAGGGAGAGAAGGAAAGAGAAGGAGAAGGAAAGAGAGAGAGAAGGAGAGAGAGAGCAAGAGAGAGAGAAAGGGAGAAAAAAAGAGAGAGAGGGGGAGAGGGAGGGAGGGAGGGAGAGAGAGAGAAAAAGAGGGAGAGAAAGAGGGAGAGAGAAAGGGAGAGAGAGAGAGAGAGAAAGAGGGAGGGAGAGAGAGAGAGATGGGGGGAAGGGTCATACTAATCAGGTTTGAGAGTTTGGTGCATAACTCCTTTGCCCTGCATATATTCAGGAGTGAAGACAAACGTGTGCGACCGTGGTATGCGTGCATTTAAAAACTATTTGTATATGTGGCAGACAGACAGGTAGGCCCTACTTGTATTGAAAAGTAACAATAATTAATATTTCAAATGTTGGTTCAGGCGAGTTCTGTGTCACTGTGTCACAGGAATCAAACTTTGCGCTGGTTTGTTTCAAGTATGTACTTTTTTTCTTTTTTATTAGGACATCACGCTTTTGCACTTAAATTATAACAAGCAATGCTGCTATGCTACTATCACAAGAATAATTTTTTCCAAACTCTTCATAAAAACAAACTTGAGAATCTACCTAAAAACTGTGTGAATGCCAGTATAAGCAAATACATTATGCCCAAATAACCCATACAACACACAAAAGAAATTCCTTCAAAGATCGGAACAGAATTCTCAATTTTGGAAAAAGCCATTGGTCTTTACACAAAAATGTAAATACTATTATATCAGTGTAATGTAAATAGTCATTTTAAGATTGAGGTTTTTACTGTGAAATGTTAAAAAACTTTCAAAATTTGATCATTGACCAAAACCAAGCCGTGCTGTGAACTGTAGTGAAGTGAATGTAACCAACTTGTGTTTCGCGCCCTTATACGACCTTATGCAGTTGCGAGCACCGTAATAAAACTCTTCCGAAACAAAAGTAAGAGAGTAGATCTTACTGTCAAAGTAACTCGTGTCCTCCTCATTATCCAGCTGCGGGACAAACTCCGCCTTCTGTCGGAGCAGGCTCTCCCAGTTGACGCAGGAGAAGAAGATGTGCTCTTTGACCTCCTGAGCCCCGCCCACACCCAGACGCTGCAGGGGGTCGTGCTGCAGGAATCCCAGGATGATGTCCTTGGCGTCGTCGCGGACCTGCCACTCTTCCTCGTCCGGCCACTGGATGTTCTCTGTGGAAGTCCCAAGTCAGTAAGTAGTGTTAGTTTATGTCTCAGTAACAGTTTTACGGCACTTGCAAGGCGTTATTAGGGAGTGACGTGCAAAGAAAAGTAGAAGGAGAGATAAGGATGACGACAGATGTTTGATCGGAAAGAAGGAGCAAAGCACACCAGAGCATGTGCTAACCACCCACTGGCTAAAATATTCGTATCATCAACAAATATATATATGTATTTTCAAAAGGGGCATTAAATAACTTCTGTCACAATCTGGCCCAAACGCATTGCCCATCAAAATGAGCCAATCCCCCACTGATGGCCAATACTGCCCATGGTGGCAAGCACTGGTATAGATAACTGGCACCACCCGAGAGCGACGGCCAACCACCCATAAGGGGGTGCTAAACTTACATAATATTAAATAGATTGGAATGTTGTAAGGTGAAGGGAATATTGAATGAAAGCTGTTCATAGAGTAGTGGGAAAGGCTGTGGCACAAAAAGAGTGCACTTGCTCTCCAAAGTACTTTTCTTACCTCCACTTTTCTGTAATCAAACACACTTTACAGGAAATGTCTTCAGAGTGAGAACAAGGAATACCATGACGTAAACATCATAGTGATTGCCTCGAGTTAGGCCAGAAAGGGGCAAACATAGGACAGACATAGTAGCCTTAACTCTTTGAAGACATTTCAGGGGATAATCCGCTGACAGGGGAACCTACAGTTGTCGCAGTGTCAGCTGATAATCTGTAGACGATTTTAAACTTGTTTATTTGCTAAACTAGTGGTCTAAGGTGGACAACCCCTATATCATTGGAAACTCGTCCAAAGCCCTATAATTTGGTTGCTTCCTTTTATTTGCTATCGAATTAGGATCAGCATGGCGTTTGTTTTAGGCCCATTGTTTCGCACGAAATGTCGCAGTTTCTATCCAAAATGGTGAGCTCCAGGGGACGTGGTTTGATGCGGATTGAAGAAGCTTTGGAGTTGTTTATGGATGATGGCAGTGATGAGGAGTTAGATTTAAAGTTAGAAGAAGAAAGTTCAGATGAAAGTGATTATGAATCTGTACCATTGGTTGGTAGATCTACCTAACCCCCCAAGTCTCATCTTGTCAAAAAGAATTTTCTTTTGAGGGCAACTATAGTGATCTTGCAGCCTTCATCAAGGTAAGACTGGTATTGTGAATGTATGATAGATTGGTGTTACAGAAAAATAGAGAAATTGTACTTTTTAGTGATGTAAGTGTGATTTTTGTACTGTTGATACGAAAAAAAAATGGTGACCTGGTAAAAAAGGGGAAAGAAGGTGTGTCACAGAGTATCGAGACAAGGAAAGTGGGTGCGTCTTCAAAGAGTTAAAGATAGACAAATCATCTTGTATAGGCTATGTAAAATATTTTTTCCTTTATCAAAAAGATGGTAGTACTTCCGAGGTTACAAGTATCTCATACATCTAATGTATATTGGGATCTCTCCAACATCTCAGAAAATAAAGCGAAATCCATGTCCAACAAGTGCAACAACAAGAGGTTGCAATGACTGGCGGCCTACCCAAAACTTACCATTCACCACCTGAGAGAACAACTCTTCCGGGGTGTCGCCAAAGAAGGGGACACAACCCACCAGGAACTCGTACAGGATGATGCCCATGGACCACCAGTCCACAGGTTTGCCATAGCCCTGACGCAGGATCACTTCAGGGGCGATGTACTCCGGCGTGCCAAACACCTGCTTGTCACGGAACTGCTTACAGTCCTTGTCGAGAGCGTCTTCGTACAAGTTGGTTGTCACTGGTCGTAGAACAAGAGATTTTCATCAGTTCTGATTTCTACTTTCCTTTTAACCCAGCCAGCCCCATCCATTTATGTGCACTCCATGTCCCAGCCAATACAGCAGTATTTCAGAATTAGGTTAGCTAATTTAGAAAAATGTGTAAATTAGGTACTCATCGAAACTAAGAATATATGCTCTTTGGACGGGGGAAGGTGCAAGTACTGCTAAAAATATAAGCACAAAGGGCTGGAAGGGTTAAAAGGGCACAGCCTATTCAGAAAGGAATGAGTTGAGCTGGGTTTTTTGGAAAATTAGCTACATAGTAGCCCATATAGCCCATACGTTTTGCCTGTACGGGAGATCAACTAACAACTAATTTCTGTCTGCAATAAGGCAAGCTGGAGAGCCATAAAACAACTGCTGTTTGGAATAAGATTTGACTAAATGTCTAAAGTTTCTCATGAACTGAACTAACATTGAAGAGCCCTCAACATCCAACCGAAGTCAGATACTAAAGTGTTATAACCATCCCTTCATTTTACTCAGCGACAGAGGCTTTTAGACACCTATTGCCAGTTTAATTGATTTTCTCCTAGCCTTTCTAAAGTTTCTTCTTTCCCTATTTACAATCATCTTAAAGACACTTCTCAACAGCCAACAACTCAATATAATGCATATTGTCAAGACTAAGCTGCAACCTAAAATAATTGACCCCTCCCTAAACAAAAAAAAAAAAACAAAAAAAAAAAACCCAACAAAATAAAACAAACAAAAACAACAACAAACAAACAAACAACAAAATACCCAAAACAAATCAAATTAAACTTACAAAAGTTTGTTTTTGACCTAGTCCAATGCCTTACAATACTGAAACTGATCAGACGTTTAGAACATAATATTAAGTGCCATACAAGTCCCAAAAAAAGTCTGAGATACTAAAATTACTCCAGAACCATCCAGATAACTGGCTCTCCTATCAACCTCATTGAGCCTCGATAACCACTCACAGCTCATGAGTCCAATCTTGGAGAGTCCAAAGTCTGTCAGTTTGACGTGGCCCAGCGCAGTAATGAGCAAACTGTGGACATAGGCAAGACAAAAATCAGGTCCGTGTCGTGCAGAGTTAATATTTCATACTGTCAAAATTACTCAAGATAGCAACCCACTGTCGAGGAGAGAAATTATTGTCTTAAGACAGGTAAGATGTCTTGGACTGTATTTATAATATATAATAATATTTTTTTTAATGCAAGGGGGGAAAATGGGAAGAGGTCTTTGATAGTCTTGGCCAAGTGGCCATTAAAGCAGGTCCAACTTGACTTGTAAAAACCTTTCTTCAAAATGCCCTGTACAATAACCGATGATGTTTGAAGAAGAAAAACAAACGGCTAGAAAATAATGTGGACTTTGTAGCTATGTCAGAAAAACTGTACCAGTACAATCATGATCCCCTCATAGTCCTTAAGGTATTAAGGTAGCTGTCACAATATCCCAGGACAAGAATAACACAGAAAAGAATGAGCAGACCACCTGAAAGAGCCTATTAAATATCAAATATACATACATCTCGAGAGAGAGAGAGATAGAGAGAGATAGAGAGAGAGAGAGAGAGAAAGAGAGAGAGGGGGGGGGAGTGTGTTAGAGAAAAGGAGAGTGAGTGAGAAAGCGAAAGAGAGAGAGAGAGAGAAAGAGAGAGAGAGAGAGAGAGAGAGAGAGAGAGAGAGAGAGAGAGAGAGAGAAAGAGAGTCAGAGAGAGGAAGAGAGAGCAAGAAAAGAGTGACAAGACAGTGAGAGAGAAAGCCTGAATAAAACTCACTTATCAGGTTTGAGATCTCGGTGTACAACTCCATAGCTGTGCAGGTACTCAAGGGCCAACACTGTCTCTGCAAAGTACATCCTGGGGGGTGGGAGAGAAAACAGGCCTGTTATGTCTGTGGTTTTATATGGACATACCGTGATGTCTGTAGTCTAGTGGTAAGGCTGCCGGACTAGTGATTGGGGGTTCGAGCCTCAGTGGAAGTCTATGTAAAAGAGAGAAGCATTTAGCATTCTCTTCATTATGGTTGATGACTACACCAATCCTATGACGACAGATGTTTGAAAGGAAAGAAGAAGCAAACCCCACCAGAGCACCCACCATTTACATTTTGAGAAGAGCAGAACAGGATAATAGCAATACTTCAATGGAGAGGAGGGAAGAGACCAAACCAAGTGCCTATTATACTCTGCGTCAACAGGGCTAAATGTCAGAGACAGAGGCTCAACCATTATTTTTACTATTAACGTGCAACTTCCAAAAGTAACATTATCTTTGTCGCATTAAAAGGAGGTACAAGTTATTAAAAGTAAAAAAAATCACCCAAAAAAACAAAACTACCCACCTTGCCAGATCCAAGGGAAGACAACCCACATTCTTGAGCAGAGTCGCACAGTCGCCTCCTTCGACATACTCCATAACCATACACAGGTGTTTCTGTACAACAGAAAAACGCATATCCTTCTAGAAACATGTGATACAATAGTCTCATTGACGGAAAAATAAAACCTATAAAATATGCTTCTTTAAATTACAATAAAACAAAGAACACTTATTTTTATCCTTTAAAAGTTAAGAATCATGTAAATAGGCTATTCCATGAAAAATGAAACGGCAGGGACACACATAATGTGGAGATGATGATGTACTGACATAAGTTCTAAGTAGAGATAGAGCCATTCTTTACTATTACAGTAGTCTCCACCTTAGCTCCCACTGCTTATGATCCCGGTTCGTTTAAGATCCCGCTGTTTTAAGAAAACAGAATTTTTACTATACAAAAATCACCCGTAAGATCTCATTCTGATTCACGTTGAAGGTCTTCATTCGGCTAAGATCCTGCATTTCTGATAATACTTTACGGAATAAAAACCTGGGCGGGTACAGCCGATCAACCGAGAGGGAAAAGTTGAGATCAATGAACTGCCCGTCGTGTCAAAGCTCAGCCACTCTTGTGAATATGATCACATAAGCGTTGTAAAACTCGATGAAACAGTGCAATGTTTGCCCCAGACAGGGTTCGTCGGCTAAGATCCCGTTCACTTAAGATCCTGCATTTTCCTTGCTCCCGACAACCGGGACCTTAGGTGGAGACTACTGTATTATTTATGTTATTATTATTACTATTATTTTCATCACTATAATTATTATTATCATCATTATCACTATCGTAGTTACAGATTGCACTGGGAAAGTAATTATATACATCTCTGCTGCAGCAAGTCTGAGCCTCCACAGCACTTACCTTTGTCTCAAAGCTGCAATACATAGAGACAACAAAAGGATTGTCGGTGAAGGACAAGATGTCTCTCTCCAGGAAAACCTGCTCTATCTGGTTACGCAGCACCAGGTTCTGCTTGCAGATCTTCTTCATGGCAAATCGTTGTCGTGTCTCTTTGTGTCGTACCAAGTACACAGCTCTGTCATCAGGAGGGAGGGAAAGGAAGGGAACATATAACTTATTTTTGTAGCAATGGGAAAACAACAGATTTTTATTTTTCCACACAAATATTTCCTCAATTTTTCAACAAAAAAATGGTATAATGATAACACAATGGTAATCATAATGGCGATTAAAAAAATTTGATAAGACAAACCTCAGCCCCCCAAAGATTAAAAAAAAACAAATTTCAATTAACAAACACCCTAATAAGACAAACTCAGACAAACAACTCCATGAGATGGAAAAGGTCAAGAGCCACAAAAGCATTGTAATTTACATTTGTAGAAATATGACTTCCCCCACAAGCTGTCATTATTCACTGGTAACTGCAAAACAAAAGACAGCACAATGAATTGTTAATTTCATTTTTTAAATGTCTAAGAGAAACCAGCAAATAAATTATAGCACATTTTCTGAGTACCATATTTGAATTACATCAGCCCTGTCTTTTAAGATGTCTTCTCAGAAAGCAAGAAAAGTGAGACATAAAGTTGACAGCAGTAAAACTTACGCGTAGGCGCCATTGCTGATGAGCTTTATAGAGTCGTAGTCTTCTTCACATGGCTGTTTCACTTTGGTCAGAGCGGCCACTTCTTGTTCCTGAAATCAAAAGAGAAAAGAAAACAATTATCAAAACCTTGCTTTGCATGATTTCTCTGCAATTAAAACGTATTCATCACTGTCTTCATAGTTTCAAGTCCCTTGAGAAACCAGTTCATTCTTTCTTATTTCAAATTTGAAACCAACAGTAAATAATCAGCATAGCATACCGTACACAAACTTAGTAGCCCCCATATAATAAAGATAGGAAACTAAACCATCCATCTATCCTGAAATTGGTAACACTATTTCTCACGCTACTTTCAAACACTGGAAACAAGGACTATGTTTTTTTATCACTTGGAAATATTTTGTCGATTCTATGGTCACAAATTATCACACATGAAAATGTTTATTTTCCTTGTGCCCAGATTTTGAAAACAGCAACTACAATATATACAGAAGAAAGGCCTGTTATTAGATATGCAAATCATTTTATATGACAATCTGTTTCTGCTGTTATGGGTGATGTCTCCTAATAAAAAGAAAAAAAAAAAAAAGAAAAAAAAGAAGGAAAAATACAGCACAAAAAGTTTCCATGTGATGATGCAGAAGTAATTCAGTTGAGTAAAAAGAAAAACACACTTTTTAACTTTAACACTTTCCACCCACGCAGCGCGCAGAACACGCTTCACTTATCCCAACGGACCAGGATACAGGTGCAGTACATGCTCTATCACACCAGCACCGATCGGCGCACGGCGGCAAAGTGTTAAACTTTAATTACCTCTGGCTCCGTTTCTTCCTCCTTGTCTTCCTCCACACCCGGACCATGATCCACTGAGTCAAACTGTTCTACTGGGGTGATGTCTGAGGTCAAAAAGGTTTATTTTCAGTAAGAGTTTTGTGGCAATTGCAACACAATTAGGTCAAATAAGTGCTATAGATTAGATATAACAAGCAAGTAACAAACACAAAAAAAAAGGGAGAGATAAAAGAGGATGATAGATGTTTGGTACGAAAGAAGGAGAAAACCACACCAGATGAGTTTGAGCTAAAGATAAGCACGCCGACAACCTCTCTCTCAGCTAGTGTAAATCAACATTAATTAATACAAGTTCTGGAAAAGTCCACAGGTGATTCCCATGCTTGTTAGGAAATGCTTGCATGATTTGATTGCTTCCAAACAAGGAATTTTCCATAACCAACAATTCATGGTAATTTCCACTGAATGACTCAGAAAGAAAAATGGACTTCAGTACAGGCAACACTATGTATATCCTTTCTCTCTCTCTCTGTGTCTCTTTATCTCTTTGTCTCTCTATCTGTCTGTCTCTCTCTCTTTCTTCCAACCAGACACAACATCAATTTTTTTTTTTTTTACATGGTTCTCACTATCAACAGGTCAGTGACATTAATTTATCTTCAGTCTTTGAAACAAAAAAATATCAACATTCCTGAAGCCAGGTCTGAAAATGAAAAACAACCCCCCTGTTTTTCTCATCCAATTTAATGTCACCAGGTGGTCTATTTCTCTCCTAGTAAGCCCGAAGAAATCCATTATCTCCCCTGCCAGTACCCAGACATACAAGTCTGCAGGGCACATCTTCTCTCTCCCCCTTCCCCCCCCCCCCCCTCAACCCC